GTCTGCGCAAAATGTGTATAAATACTGCACCTCGTGCAATTCCAGTCAGTTGCGGTCGAGTCAATCCTTCTATTGACACCGAATCTATCTTGAATCTGCATTTCGTAATTTATGCGTTAATTGCAATTCACGGTAACAGTAGTAGATTTAAATAATTCCATGGATAAATTTCGAAGTCGTAAGTGAACATTAGACGCCAATAAATTTTGGGTTTACCACTACTGAAGTAAATGAAGAAGAAAGGCCCTTGTGTGTTTATTTGCTCAAAAATGATGGCAGCAGACGGTATGAAACTTAATAAACTTGAACAACATTTTGGAAACGCTTCACGGTGAATACGTTAACAAACAACGAGAATTTATTTATTTAATTTTTGAATTAAATGAAAACCAAAAAACATTTTTAAAAAAACTTTGACTGTGAATGAAAAAGCTTTACTTGCTTCTTACAAAGTCTCAAAATAGCCAGATGTAAAAAGCAGACTTGCAGTCCATACCTCTATCAAATGATAATACTGTTACGAATTTGGCATTTAAAAAGCTAATGTTAGTTCAATTATAAATTAAATGGTTTTATTTCTCGCGTCGTGCAGCGCGTGACGAATATTAAAAGGAAAGCTAAGTCCAGAAAATTGAAAAATACAAAGCACGCGCATATGACATTAAATAAATAAATATCTCTTTTTGATTTCGAGAAAATACTGGAAAATTCTAGCGCGTGATTTTAAAATCTTATAAAAGGAGGAAAACATCTCAGTTTGTTGTAGTTGCTTAGTTTGTTGTTGTTTAGAAAACAGCTCTTGTTGATTGTAGCGAATTCGCGGATTAGCTTTCTTTAGCTGTTTTGAATTACGTTCTATTGAACATTTGAGTAGTTAAAAGATAACTACTGTGAGATATTGTAATACTGCATGATAATTTGAGAAGATTTAAGCATTTTTGTTGTGATAATAATAAATTTTTTTCATTTTTCATCGCACTTGTGCATTCATTTCGTAACGAACCCGTACGCACGCAACAATTTTTTAAAAAAGGGAAAACATATAATATCCCAATTTTCTTCAGTGTTCAGATGAGTGATAATCTTGTAATTAAAAGGCCTCCAAGTCGATTTTTAGCTCTTTGAATTACTGATGATGAAAATAGAACTGTTTATATGTTCTTGGGGATTGGTGTCACAGAAGCCTTTAGTGCCAAGTCTCCTCTTATCCATGTAGAAGCAATCTCTTTCATTCCTGCTTAATATCCCACTTCTGACACCAAAAATTGTTGCGTGCGTACGGGTTCGTTACGAAATGAATGCACAAGTCCGATGAAAAATGAACAAAAATTTATTATTATCACAACAAAAATGCTTAAATCTTCTCAAATTATCATGCAGTATTACAATATCTCACAGTAGTTATCTTTTAACTACTCAAATGTCCAATACAACGTAATTCAAAACAGCTAAAGAAAGCTAATCCGCGAATTCGCTACAATCAACAAGAGCTGTTTTCTAAACAAACTAAGCAACTACAACAAACTGAGATGTTTTCCTTCTTTTATAATATTTTAAAATCACGCGCTAGAATTTTCCAGTACTTTCTCGAAATCAAAAAGAGATATTTATTTAATGCACGCCCTCTTGTATTTTCAATTTTCCGGCTTAGCTTTCTTTTAATATTCGTCACGCGCTGCACTGCACGAGAAATAAAACCATTTAATTTATAATTGAACTAACATTAGCTTTTTAAATACCAAATTCGTAATGATACTGTTGCCCGTCAAATCGGTGATATAGCCGAGATGGTACAGCAGCAGCTTTTTGGGAAGTTGCGTGACAAATTGTTTTCAATTCAACTTGATAGGGCAACAGATGGCAGTTAAGATGCTCATTTTATGTTCATTTCACATATGTTCGATTTTGTGATGGTATGTCAGCAGCAGAAGAACTACGTTTTTGTAAACCAATAAAACTCAAAGCAACAGCACTAGCATTATTTGATATTTTAGATAATTTAATAAACAAGGCAAACAAAGAGTGGAAAAATTGTGTCGGAGTATGCGCCGTTGGTGCTCGTACAATGTCTGGAAGATTCCAAAGTATCCAAGCACTTGTGAAATAAAAATCTCCACTGTGCATTTGGACACATTGCATGATCCACAGAGAAAGTCTGGCTTCCAAAGAAATGAATGATCAAGAAATGGTCTGAATATTGAGCCAATGACAGTTGTATCCGTAGTAATTTACATAAAAATGAGACTCCCCAAATCAAAAGTCTTCTCTGTACTTTGTAAAGGGGGCATTCCCCACAGTTTGAGAATCGCTGCTCTAATGCAAGCCTTGATGTACATATGATCAATGGGCAGCAATTATTTGTTGTCTTAATTGCTTATATTACTTACTACTGTCGAAGTGTAAACTCTGTGAAACTTGTAAAAAAAAAAGAAAGAAAAAAAAAATTCCCCCCCCCTAACTTCAGGATTTATCATGATGGGAATTCTTTGAACTGACATGATTCACAAAAAGAAATTATTCCACAATGATACGTGCAACAAGCATCCTAATGACTGCACTATTCCAATCTGAAATCAACAAACTCGCAGTTTGAAAGCAGGGTGTTGCCAATGCCAGAAATAAAATATTTTTGTTTGCCTCGTCCGGCAGTATTGTCATTCAGTAAAGCCTAAGATATTTAATCTGGAAGATTATTGAATAACAAACAAAGCGATTTAAAAGCAACAAATACTGTTTTTTTTAAAGAATTTTCAATATGGCTGACTTAAATGCATTAAAATGAGGCATCTACTGAAAAATATTAAATATGTTTATCAAATTACACTAGCTGGACCCGTTAAAATCATCCCCCACTTATTTTTTCCCTGATAACTGTTTTATGCGACTGGTCACTCGAGTGTTTAGTTTTTAAAGAATTAATATACTGAATATAAAGCAATGTATGGCAACCCCTAACACTCAATTGGAAATTCTAAAGATATGCTGTTTTTAAATATTTTGTGATTTTGTTGTTACTATTCAACAGCAAAACCCGAAAAACACGATAATCTGGATCCGCCAAAAAACAAAAAACACGATACGATGCCGCGTAAGTCCGAAAAACACGATACTTAATATAGTTAAACACACAAAAAGTTAATAATAATAAAAAACAAGTCATCTTATTAAGAAAACTGAACACTGATATGATAAACTGAGCAAAGACTGAAAAAAATAGAAAAATGTGTTCCACCATTTAACGCTGTATCGGAAATTCTAAATATATGCTGCACTTAAAAAGTTTGCAATTTTGCTGTGGAAATATATGTGGCATAAGTGCGAAGAAAGCAGTTAAAATTGCACCAGAACTCTCAGTAAGTTGTAATTCTAGCTGGAATGCTAAATAAAAGGGCTTTGGAAATATTTATATTAATGACCTCCCAAAAGCACTGGAGGACGCTGATGACAATTTAGTTTTTTGGATCTAGGCTCTCAGGGAGAAACCAAGTCACATGATAGGTAAAATAAATTTTGCAATGATTGATGTGACGAAAATGAGATGGAGATCAACAGTGAAAAGTGAGTGTACACGGCTACACTTGGAAAGTATGTGTCGAGGCGGTTACTTCAAAAGTGAAAGGCAGATTAAGGATTTTGAAAAGACTAGATGCGAAGTAGGGTTGCAGCAGAGACACTCTTGATGTAACGTTTAAAATGTATATTACACCTGTACTATTGCTGCGAGCTTCTTATAACATGTAGTATAGAGGTAATGATTAAGTTGGAAGCTGTTCAAAATCAAATCTTGAAACTAATTACTGGTGCAGTAAAAACGACTCCAATCCAGGCTATGTTTCTGCTTACCGATAATAAACCAATAGAAGAGATTATTGAGGAAAAGGCCCTGTGTCTTTCTGAAAAATTAATTCGTCTTCCAGGTAACATCTACTGGAGAAATTATAACAAAAACAAAAGATTGAAAACTCAGGCAGGTCCTATTCAAAGAATCCTGACCATAAGAGAGATTCGATATCCCAGCTACTGCTGAAATTTTCTGACCTTTATATGTTTTCAACTGTATTGTCTGCAATGATCAAATTTTTTTCCACATCTTCCATAATTTTTCAATTTGCAGAGAGCAAAAAAATTCAGAGATTTATCTTATAAGCAACTTATAGTGGTATAGTATATTTTTAGAGCTATTTCTTTCTTACTTAAATTAAACAACCCTTCCAAAATTTATTCTACAGATAAATAGCTTTTCGTTTAGACTTGCACATGGTTTATACTTTTTGACCTCAACTTTTTAATTGCATTACATGTGTTTGCCATCGCAAAAATGATACAAATTTATATATACTGGGGGCATTATCTCCAGGGAAAAAAAAAACATAAAATATATAAAGCAACTCAAATTGTATATGCTAAATTAAGAAATTATCATCTATTAGATCTCTTATTTACATATTTCAAACAAATATCTGATCTGAGATATACCCCTTTTAAAAATAAAGCTGTTTCAAGCTTTGAACAAATAGGTTTAACATTAGATTTCTAAGATTTACATACACTTAAATCAAATTATTACTAACTATCTGTTTATATATTAGATTTGCTTTCTTGTTTCTTATTCTTTTATATTTTATCATAAAACTGACAGCACAAGTGGCAATACAATATAAAAAATAAATAAATAAAAATAAAATAATAAATTTTATACTTTCTACACTTAAAATTTTTTCTAATTTAAATTTACAAAAAATGTGTACACGCAATATTAAGATGTCTTTTACAAAAGATGAAACGATTTTTCAGATCCAAAGTGTCATAAATCGTTAAATGTTTTAAGCAAATAAATTTAAACAATAAACACACAAAATAACCAAAAGCAATATTTCAAATACATTATGCACTTTAAATCTGCGAACAAGGAATACTAGGGAACATTTTTAAGAGTAAACTGATATTAATTCAATAATTAAATATAAGATTATTAAAAATGAATGAACCTTTCAAATCTGTAAATGATTCTTGAAATTTTTATTACATAAATGATTACAATCTATTAAAAAAAAACTTACACATCTGTACATGCAGGCTACAAATAATAAGAGAAAAGGATCAATATGTGTGTTACAAAATTTGGAAAGCACTATAAGCTAGATCAGAATAAAAAACAGTATTACTAATTCTTCCTATTTAAAACTTTAATACTTATATAAAAAATAACCATTTTCTGATATACTGTAACTATGTCTTTTGGTTTTAATACTGTAAATGTTTTGACTAGATTGCTTACATCCTTTATAGTACGTTTCTGCAATACTCTACAATTAATTCATCACTTTTAATTTCAGAATTGCACAGCTATTAATTATTTATTATTTAAATTTGTTGTTTAACAGATATAAAAAATTTGTTGCTGTGTTTAATACTCAAAACTACATTTTTGAAAAACATTTCTAAGAAATTCCGTCATAAAAGATTTTATTTATTTAAATTTAATAAATTCACTATTATTAGAAAATTATTCAAATGAAAATTTTTCTCAATGTGCCACAGCAGATTTCTTCAACAGACAAATTTCTTTTGAAACAATGAATTCTACTTCCAAAAAACACCAATAACATCACACTGAGCTTAATATGCTAGACAACAAACAAAAGCATCAGCATTGACAATAAACAGGCCTTTCCACAATACGCCACAATTATTTATATGACACTAAAATAGCATATAATGAATACTAAATACATTTTTCATTAGTAAATGGTCCTTTTAATGTGCTTTTAATAAACTGTCATCTATGAAAGCAATATTAAGGTTCACCATGATATAAATAAATAAAGCCTGCTTTTGAAATTTTAAAACTAAACAAAAAAAAAAAAAAAATAATTCTAATAAATAAAATCTGACGTAAAATCATGAGAATCTACTTACTACAAGAAAATTCACAATTTAACAGTTTGGAAACATAATTCATGTAAAATAGATGAAACACTACTATGATCCTGCATTTTAAACTTATCTACATGGTTTTGATCCTTTTATCTCTATTCATTTTTTGTCTCGTCATTTAGCAGCAGGCAAACGAAAATGTGTGTTTAATGGTAACCTATAACGAGACTACAAATTTTTAGAATTCTATATTGACAATAATAATGAATGTGTTTATTGCACATTTTGTACTGCAGAATTTTCTGTTCACATAAAAGAAAGGGTGACACTGAAGACCACATGAAAACAGCTAAACATAGAATTGCTATTAATGCTATTGCTTGAACAAACATACACCAAAGATGGGAAAAATAACAGTGGTCTGGTGCATGCTGCTAAAGAAGCTACATTTTTGTATCATACTGCTAGACATGAACTCAGTTTGAAAACACCAAACTGCATGCCTAAACTGGTTAAAAAGTTATATGACCCAAAATTTTCATTTGCTAGAACCAAAATCGGGGCAATTATTGTTAACTTTATTACACCATTTATATTTGATAATGTGTTGTGTTCTTTAGAAAAAAAAAAACATTAATATGTAACAGTAGCAATGGATAGCTCAAAGAGAAGTGAAGTAAAATTTGTTCCAACTGTTGTAAGATATTTCAATCTGAAGAAGGAAATTCATGTTAAACTTTTAAATTTTATGAAGTGTCAGGAGAAACTGCTCAAATTTGGACTCGGTATCTTTTGCACAGTATGAAAAAATACAAACTTGAAGAAACATTCGTTTGTTATACTGCTGAAAACATTAAGAGTAATTTTGGTGGTGTGAAGAGAAAGAAGAATGAAAAGTATTCAAGAAAAGTTCAAAGTGATTTTGATAGACTAATTTAGGAACTGGTTGCTTAGCTTGATTGCACTTAATTCAGTACAAACAGCATGCGATTCTCTACCCCTGTACACAGAAGTTACTGTTATAAAAAATTATAAATATTTTCACATACATATAGCATGAGCATTGAAACTTTAAGATTAAAAAAAAAAAAAAAAATACTATCTCCTAAGAAGCACAAGGTACCTTAGTTTGTTATTTGCAATAGAAAGAATCCTTTCCATTTTTTGATGGCCTAAAATCATACTTCTTACCTTTTGACATACACCCAAAACTATTATTTATTTATTTATTTATTTTAAATCTAGAAAGTGAACTGTTTTTGAAATTTTCATATGGTACTCTACATTTGTTTCACAATGCAGTTCTGGAATTGGAAGCTAATTCTATCACAACAGAGGCATTTCAGACACATTCTGAATTAATTTGTCAAGTTCAGTAAGAAAACCCACACATTTATACCATTTTCTGTCAAAGTATTGCTAGCACTCTAAAAGAAAACAATAATATTACATGAACAAAAATTCTTCTCAAATGTAGGCAATTTTTATAATTCTAGTATCCAATACTTAAGACTTGTGGAGAACCAGTTTTGATAAAGTACCAGATACTATTGAAGAGAAGTGAAAAGCAATTTTTAAGGTATTTTAAAAGACTGATGTTTCATATGTTATAATATTTCTAAAATGGTTAAGTTTGTGGTGTCTTTGCATGGTAAATCTGTTTCAGTTGAGATAAATTTTGCCACTTTGGGGAACATTTGGCTTGCAGAAAAAGGCAGACTTTAAATATTTATTGTTAAACATCTGCTAAATGTTAAAATTAATTCAGAATAATATAGAAAGATAAGAATTCAGAAAAATACAACTGAATAAAGTTTAATGTTACAGTAAACGTTTAAGACTTTTAAGTTATTTCAAAACTATGTCCTGTGTTAGACAAAAAAAAAAAAAAAAAAAAAAAAAATATGGTAAGCCTAACAGTTGCCAGAGTTTATCATATTCTGAAAATTTGGAAATTTCTATTAAAGTGATTGCATTAAAATATAAGTATTCAATGAAGAACCATATAAAACTTGCTTATTATTGTTCATACACAGAGCTCAGAGAAAGAAAAATATCAGACAATCAATCAACTAAGAAAGAAAAGGACAGCTAACTAATCAATCAACAACTAACATTTCAAAATTAATACATCATTTAATTTTTTAAAACTAAGGAGGAAAAAGGAAAATAATAATGCAGAAATGTCAATGCTAACACAATCAAAGATTAAAAAAAGGGGGGAATGGGAAACAGTTTTAATTCAGTATTTTTTAATTTGTACTTAAATTTGTGTTATGAAAGGCAAAACTATTTTGCAAATATTTGTCACTTATATATTTATACTCAAACTATAAAATTGCTCTAGTGATACAATTCCAACTGAAAGAAACCTTATATACTCCAAACAAAAACATCTACAGATAAGCCCATTGAATGTATGAAATGTAAAAAAAAAAAAGTTTTACTAATCAGAATGTTCATAAATAATTTGCATACTTTTTATTTTAGATGATGTATTACTATTATAATATTAAAAAATGTATACAAAAACATGTATTATATTTATACCAAAAGACCCCAATGTATTTCTGATCAAAAAGGGTTAATCTCTTTGCTCTTAGGTTTACATCTTCCAAAACTTAATTTAAAATCTTAATATGAGATATTTATTTCTTATTTCAAATTTCGAACACAAAAGATATCATTATTTTAAAAAAATTAATCGCAACCAATCATTGATTTGCATTTAACTACAATGTAGCAAAAACAGAAGTCCTAAAAACAGGGCTCTTCTTAAATTCGAAGAGAATTTTTTATATATTTCTAATTATAATTTTCAGAATGAATAAGCAATATTTAATATTTACTTAACACACAATTCAAATGAAAAGTCTAAAAATGTGACTTGTAATAAAGTTAAAATCCTTAAATTAAAAAAAAATATTAATTTAAAATTAAAACATGATAATTAAAGTCATTAGGAAATATGGAAGATTTTCTAATTATAAGGCAAAATATACACTTTTAAATAACAAAATTGTAAAATTATAATGAAAAGGGAACAGTATCATAAGATTACTTTCAAACACCATGAAAAGATTTAAAGAAAGTCAGCTTTTCAAGCATCCATAATGAATATTTAAAAGAAAACAGAAATTATTACAACAGTTTTTCAAATATAACAGCCAATCATATAAGAGCCAGTCTTAATGTTGCATTATTTCTTTCTTCACCTTGGCATAGCTCTTCTCTTTTTTCGAAGAAGTCGATCTTTTATGGAAACTTTTTGTAATAAATTGTAGGCTACGTATTCACAATAATAGTCAGTAAAATAAGGTACGTAAAATGATCTCAAAAGTCTGTGTGACCTAAAAAAAGGAAAAAAAAAGATAAAGCAATTACTTATTTTTTTACAGTTAATAAATTACAGGAAAATATACAATCAGAAATAACCTCTGAGAATCAAGAAAAGGTATGGAAGAAGTAATGTTCCAGTTCCTGTCTTTAGAGTATCTTGGTTCCAAAGAAGAATGATTTGGGTAATCAGAATCAACTATATAATCACATAACCTGATGTCAACCTAAAAGAGCATATTGTGTTATTAGCAAAATAAAAATAAGTTTGCCACCTATATAATAATTTTTATGTTAAACTGAATTATGAAAAAGCATATAAAACTTATATCTGGAAGGGGGAAAATAACACTATCCATACATAAAATTATGCTTAATACTTTTTTGTACTATTAAATGATTTCATTAATTTTAAATTTGTCATGAATTACTTGTAATTCATTTTCTCATGATTTAACAGTTTTCTTGATTACTTAAAAAATTAACTGAAATTTATGTTAATATATATGAAATGATTTAAATTATCAATTTAGAAAGGGTGAAAGAAAGTATGAACAAATAGTAGAACAATCTGTTGATAACAAAAAAGGTCTACTTTTGTGTGAAAGTAGTCCCTTTTTCTTGCAGATTAGCTATTTGTGAATCCAATACAGACAAATGACCTCATCATTATGCACATAATTATACAATAAAACATTAATAAACTAATTTGTCAAGAGATATCACAAATTAACCAAGAAAACTACAGCCTTTATTCTATAAAATTACAAATAATAATTATCTAAAAGTATTATCTTTGTTTAAAGCTTTATCAATAGCATGCTTTAGATTATAGGCACCAAAAATTAAATTAGAAGAAATACTAAGTAATCTTACATATCTTGAACGCTCTTCCAGATTTTGGTCATTCATATCTAAAGGTATGATCTTAGTTGCATTTGGTAAATCAGAAAATGGTTTAGGTAGCTGGCCTTTGAATTCTGATTGTAAAAATTTCAAGTTCCACCTAAAAGTATGTGTTGGAATTTTTATTTATACAATGAAACACATTTTAGTTTACAAAAAATTAGTCTCTTATGTAAGTATAAACAAAGTTCCATTTAATCTTATGTAAACATATAACTCATTTTTTTTTTCAAAAAAAAAAAATAATAATTTTCTTACTTTTCAGGTAAGAAAAAACTTGATGGAAATCTATACCATTCTTTCCCTATGCATACATTTACTGGATATTCTGGAGGAAGTGGATGCAAAGTTTCATCAAGTGATAGCCTACTCAGTTCCATGAATGTTTCAATTGGTGCACGGTAGCCTGATAAGATACATTGTTAATACCATTTAAAGTCCAGAATTTATAGATATATATATATATAAACAACAGCATGATAAAAATCTTAATTTCTTCAAAGATAACTTGACTGTAATGCTTTCAATATGCCAGTCTGTCTTTACTAATTTACTATTCACTTGTTTTATTAAGAAATGACAATACACATGTGGTTTTGTCCAATAAATAAATGGAATGCATCATAGGGTAGACAATTTTTCTTATTCTTTCTACGAAAGCATATTTGAAGAAATTCAGGAGAGGGAAAAGGAGGGAAAAAAACTTTCTATGGAGAAAAAATGTACATGTAAAAAAAAAAAAAAAAAAAAAAAAAATTATGACCAAAATCTCTACTATTTAGATATCTTTCCTGGCATATTTTTCATACCATTACTTTACAATCATGGTCATAGCTCTTCATTTCAATTTATGAAGGCTCATACAAATCTCCCCTCCCCTTTTTTTAGAGTTAAACACCAAAAACCTATTAATGCTATCACAGAGTTCAACAGTCGGTAAAATAAGGTACGTAAAATGATAAAATAACACAGTACAAAAGCAATAACACAGTACTATTAAAAACTTTAATATCTTAAACAGGATGCAAAATTAAATCCCCCCCCTCTAACCATTTATAGGCATTGGCCTCTACTAAGGCCAGAAGCTGTGGTCTCTTTATTATGGAGACACCAAACAGGTGGGCCACCTTTGTCTCCTATGAAGGGACATACAAATTATATCCATGCTTTCTCTGGGATTCAAAACCAAGCCCTTTGTTACTACACTGAGTCACTAGCCACTTCCCTGTCTGGGCCATGCAATATTACGTAAATATATATCCCAATAATCCAAATATCTCCTCAATGGCCAGACACTTGAAAGTTCTGCATTAATCAAGAATTGTGATTGAAATGGTCAGTTATTTAACTATCTCATCACTGAAAGCAATATCTAGGATGCAGTGCAGGGACAATTGATATTCCATCAATCAAACCCACTTCCTTAGTTTAAAATTAGCAGTCTGCCTCTGTTGACTGCCATACTATTCCAGAAGGCAAATGTGGGAAATCATTAATTCAAACTACTAAAAATTTCAAAGAAATCTGAATTCTGAGTACTCTCTTTCTCTCTTTGGATTGGGATATATATTCTTTTATGATGAAAAGAAACCTTAAAAATGCAATTAACTATTACACAGATAAGCCAACTGAAGTGCTACTGCACATCTTTGAACAAAAAATAAAGCAAAAATATATCCCCTGCCCCCCCTAAAATCCTCAATTATATGATCAGTAGGAATAATACCTCAGTAGAGAAATACATCCAATGGGTTATACAAACATTCTTAAGCAATAATACCTCATTTCATTTTAACACTCTTTGCCATTATTTTTATTTTAAAACTAAACAAATTCAATCTTAGACTGATATTAGTTTTATAGAAATAATCTATTCATTCTGAGGAAGACTGGCACGAGGAACAGTCTTTATATTACATTCCAGGAAAACATAACTGAAATAATATTGTCTCAAAAGAAGGAAAAATTAAAATCCTCTTTCATTATGTCATAAATCCTTCCATAATTTTAATGATACTCAGAAAAAGATAGATATTGTTCATACATATTGTTAAGTTTTATATCAAATAACTTAAAATCACCTAGTGGAACCTCAGATCATAAACTCCTCACTTCACAAACAATTCAGTTCCTGAATAAATTAAAATAAACCAAAACTGCATCAGATGACAAATGGCATCTCAAGTTATGAAGACTCAAGTCAGCAATATATAACTTTCTAAAATATTTTGAGGCTACCTATATCATATATTTAACCCTTAGGACTTTCTGGAAAATTCTTTTAATATTTTCAATTGTTTAACTCTCATTAATAAAGCATGACAGCAAGTGACTTACAGGATTATAACTGGCCTATAAGAAATTTAAACCAGATTGGGTTAGCAGATACTAACTATGACCACTTTGAAACTTAAATCCTTCTTTGTTATGTATGATATTGTGTTTCTAAATAAAATCATGGGCAATGTTAACAGTGAAAACTAGTGGCATACCTGGGGGGAGCAAGAGAGGAAATCTGTCTCCGACCGCAACATCCAAGGGGTGCCAAACTGATGTTACAAAATTTTAGAATGAAATATTTGCTATTCTTGAAAAGCATGACGAAGGAGGAGATCTTCAGCTGTCCCTGGGCACAGGATACCATAGCTACAGCTTCGGTGAAGATGTAGAGAAGTAATAAGAGTACCATAAAAATTAGCTTAACAAGAAAGAATTTGAATAAATTCAGAAGCAGCAACAAAAGGGTACTGTGTGGACGAGATGTCTTCAACAGACGATGACCCTCCCTTCAGAAAAATATCTTTGCTCCCTGATTTACAAAATTTATGTAATCTGGGATAAAATGAAAGTTTATGATGTTTTTATGAAAGAAAATTTCATATCCAAACAATAACATCTTTCTCATCACACTTATTCCATCTTCATTGCACGCTCTCCTTGGCACAAGTACAGTAAAATTAAATTAAGTTTTCATTTATTTTATCTGTTTAATATTGTGCTTATCTTTTTTATATTTATGCTAGCAGAAGTACCCAATGCCAGTTAAGTTAGATTGAGAGTAATGTATTATTTTATTCATGACATCACTTGAAACTTCATATAATAGCATATTACATGTCATAAGGAATATGATGCATCCTTGTAATGCATAAAAAATTATAAAGTAATATTCAATACATGTACCACAATTGACTACATAATCATATAATCATATGGTATGTATACCCATATGACATATGGACCATCAGCAAAAATAAAAACAAATACATCACCATTTTGAGCAAAATGAATTATTTTGAGCTATGTGGAACCCACATAAAAATTTTAATGGAAAAATAAACTAATACTCTCTCATTATGTCAGCAACAATGGCAGGTAACCATTGCTGCTGATATGGCTGTGATGTTGTTCCTGATATCTGCACTGTTGTCACTCAGAAAAATGAGGGTGAAAATTAATGGTTTAAGTGTTTTCTCTGATTTTATTTATTTATTTATTTTCCCCCTTAAAGTGAACATTGACCTCTTCCAGGACCCAGAAAAGAATTGTAGAAAATTTGGTGACAATAGCTATAATAGTGACCGAGTTATTAGCGAACCAAACACACAGACTTTCTTCTTTATATACAGAGATTTATGGATTTTCATCAGTTTTGGGTCATGATCTTGTGCAAAGTATTGTTGTAAAGTTTAAATAAGCAATCATCTGTGGTCTAGGAAAGAATTAATTCATCAACAGCGGCTCCAATGCAGTAGATTCATCATTATTTACAAATACCAACAGTTTAGTTACTTACATTCCATAAATGCTTTTGTCTAACGATAAAGGAATGAAACAAAATTATAATTCAGATGTAGACATCACCACCATGTTTTGTTTTAATAGTATATATCAAACTTTTATCTCTGAATCTCTGCTCTTTCTGCACTAATATTAAAGAGGTTAAATAAAATGCCGGAAATTGCTACACATTGGTAGCATTAAACAATATGGCTATCTATGATCTCAAGACCATTACTTAATTAGGTCCTTAAAAATAAAGAAATAATGATTACTTTTTGATGACCGCTGTGAAAATTTCCATGGCAATTATTTATTAGTTTGGTTTGGCTTATATGATTACGGCAAAGCCTCGAGAGTTATGGGGAAGGATGCCTTTGTGGAGGACTTTCTAAGAGTAACTGGCTCATATACAAGTTACACATGGGGTGAAAATCATGAAAATGCCCATGCAGCCAGCCAGTTTGCAGAATTCGAACCTCGGACCGATATAAGTGTTCAACGACTTTACTGCTTGGCCACTGCTGAAATTTGGCAAATAGATAAATATTTAATAAAAGAGGATTAAGATATATTCAATATACTATTAATAATAGAAATTTATACTACAAAAAATGAATTTTTTGACTTGATAGGTTAAAAATTTTATTTCATAAAACAAGAATTTTGCATTATAATAATGCATATCTCATATTTTTACCCAGAGTGTGGAATTTTAGTACATTATTTTTAATATGTTAAATTATAACAAAAAAGAAATATCTTCATTTATTAGGCAAGATTATTTCTAAAAAAAAATCATTTATCAAATCTTTCACATGTTTATACATACAATATTCATAAAACATAAATCACAGTTGTGTGATGCGAGTTTGATTTAGCAATAAACAGCTTTGCAATAAACAGCTTTATAATCCTTGCTCATGCAATCATAATTTTCCTCTATTATTTTTTTCCCTGCAATGGGTAGCAAGACTTTTGTTTTGCCATAAGTTGAAAAAACTGAACTTAACCGCACTTAAACAGCTTTTAAAAGCTTTAGTCTCTTAAAAAATAATAATAAATAAAAAAAATATGAGTCTTCATTTAGAAAAAATGTTTGTGTTTAAATAACCACTTCATGAAATTAAAATATGACTTGAAGCCAAAGTGATTAGGCAACCTTTCTTCACACCAGGAAGAAAAAGGTATGTAAACACAAATTTGGTTGTTGGACTACACATTCCATTCATTACTGCCATAAATTAATATGTACATTTACTTATGGTGTTAAATGTCTCACAAAACTGCAAAAATTAATGAAAACTTACTCACAAAAAGAAAAAAATCTGATGTGTACACCACATGACTTCCTTGTACGGAATATTAAATTATATGCATTTTTTTCTTGAATTTCATTTAAATTCATTGGATTGAATTAAATCTACTTTACCGACAGCGCATAAACCACAATAGAATAAATGCACTCTAAAATTCACTATATTTGTTTACTATAACGACACTCTGAATGCACAAACTTTATATCATTTGAAGAATTATCTTATCGTTGCCACATGTTCTATTAAAATACTATAATAAAACTAGAACGATGTATGAAAGAAATTAAGCAAACAAAACAGTAAAGAAACAGTTTTTCACAGACGATTCAGTATTTCTCATTCAATTAATTCAGTTCTCACTTCGCGACAAGGCAAAAATACATAAAACTCAAAATATCTGTATTAAAAATTACGAAGTAAATCTTAAGCACTTATTTCCTCGAAAAAATTCCAGAAAGGATTAAGCATGATTTAATTCGCAATAATAAAAGAAGGCATTATTTTTGTTGTTGCAAAGCTTAGTCTCTCTAGATTGGCAACAAATCTACAATTCTGCTGTTTTAAATGTAAACAAATATGTCCGCCATGTTATTTAAAACTTAACCGCACTTAAACAGCTTTTAAATTGTTGATAATTGTACAAATATTGCTTCCATAATTACAAAAGACATAAAAACCTTAACCGGAAGATAAGAACAACATAATTCAATCATTTTTAACCCTTTAACTGTCAAGTTATTTTGATGATTTGGGTACACAAATTGTCAAATTTTTTTAATGGAAAAACCAAATGTAGCCAAAATAAACATCTCCCGATATATATTCGGGTATGACAATATGATGCACTCAAAAAAAAAATTACCCCGAGAAATACTCGGGCGTGACATTTTCGAACACCAGTGCTGTGCCCGAGATAATCTCGGGCATGACAGTTAGAAGGTTAAAGCAAAAAATGTACAATTTACAAACGTCTAAGAGTAAAGAAACTGAGATCACTGTGCCGAGTAACACAGTGGATATATATATAAATATAGTATTTACATACGTTTGGTGCGGCCGATTGCAACCAAAATACGAGGTGCACATCTACATGTTATATCTGTCCTATATACAAATTTCAACGTTCTGAGGCTACTCGTTTTTGAGTTATGCGAGATACGTACGTACATACGTTCGTACAGACGCCACGAAAAATTCTCTTCAGAACTAATTTTAAAGCAGTTTTATAATTTTTTTGGAGGAAACGAGGCTTTTATTCTGTCCTTATGTACAGATATCACGCAAAAACATCGTTAAATTGCATTAGATAGCGGTCAAAATAAATATTTTCGTTGAAATATGCTGGCTGAAACTTTTTGCAATTACAATACTTCCTTTTTACTTCATACAAGGAAGTAAAAATACCACAGGTCATGTTCTTACCTCACACAAAGTTTCTGAAGGATTTTGTCACGCAATTAGAAAATGTTTCTTGTTGCTATTCCTGACTGTTCTATTTTATCTAGTATTCAGCCAAAGCCAGTGGAAAGGAAATAAGTCAAAATATACTTTTACAGTACCAAAGACATTTGATATGGTTTCAATTGAAAAGTACCAGCAGTTTTACTGAACTTAAAAACAATTAACTTTAATTTCACATAATCACTAAACATATTTTACAAAATATTGTCATGTTTTTAATAAATAAAATTTAAAATATGCATACAATTGCATAATAAATATTTAACAAAAGATTTTTCACCTACCTTTATAAACAACCACAGTACGAGATAAAGAAAGTAAACAATAAATGGCACAAAAGGCTATGGAAATCCAGCTAGTGAACTCCAAATAGCTGGCAATAATTTTCTTGTGAAACAACTGATGATATATTTTCTACCAAAATAACATAAATTTAAATTTCACATCATAAGGATTTCTATTGTTTATATGTAATTTCCATTAAAATAATTTTGTATAAAATTCAAGTATATTAAACAGATCCCTACCTGTAAACAGTCAACAGCAAAAGCTCCGGCAAAGCAAATCAAGGGATATATGGGAAACAGGAATCTTTCCTCCTACAAGAAAATCATCACCAAGATTTCTGAAATATCAGAATGTTTAAATAAGAAAAAGAAACCATCCCCAAAAAATAATTATAATGATAATGCACAAAATAATCAAGTATATCAAAATAAAATATTGTCATCACAGAATCATCAAAATCACATGAAAACAATATACACTAGCAATGGCCCTAGAATAAATACATAAAATAATTTTGTTCTACTGAAGATACCAAACCCAAGTAATAAATTCAAACTAACAATTCCTATATAATCAGGAAATATTTTTAGAATAAACCATACTTATTTCATTAACTACGATATTACACTAAAATTAATCACTATTCAGTACTTCCCTAAATCACGATTCAATTTTTTTATTTATTTATTTAGGGGGGAAAAAGAGTAGTAAACCACCATACTCTTCTTTTAACTTTATGAACTTTTTCTAAATTTAAGATTCCCAATTATGAAAGGAAAATGTAGTTATCCTTCAATTATCTATATAAATTATACATTTTCTCATTTAAGTCTTTTCACAATGAAAAAAAAATTATATATATATATATAAGCTTTTTCATATTATAGCACTTAATATATGTTTCAGTTACAAATTTACTAAAATTACAAAAAACGTGATATCCTTTAATTATTAAAGGTTCATTGAAATTATAAATAAAAAGTGACATCCTTTGTTTAAATAAAATATTTAAAATACTTCAAGATTGATAAAAACTAACTATCAACACTTTAAAATTTATTACACAAATTTAAGTACCATTTCTAAAATATTTCTTCCTTAAGTCAGAGTATATTTCATAAGCTGGAACAGAAACTAAAAGGAATAGCAAATAATTTTGACATTATAAAACAAAAGTCTTGGAGTCGTAACTATTTGGTGTCTGCCAAAAACATCGTGGAGAAAACAATACAAGGCAAAAATGTCGTGGGAGAAAAGAAAGTAAAAAGAAAGCATCCCAGTTCTAAAACATCGTGGTACAAAATATCATCAACGAAAATAAAGCGGTTCAAATCTCAGTTTAAAAACATAGTCTTCGAAAATATCATGGTAAAAAATAAAGTACCTACAAATCTTCGCATGAAGATAACATAGCACATATGCGTTTTTCAGGTTTTAAAAGTCATAAGTGCATTTTTGCATTATGACTTGGGAGTGCAAGAAGGGAAGAGGGATATTTTTATTTCTATATTTCATATTTTTGAGTGAACTAATAAATTTTTGCTGAAAATGTAAGAAGGAAACTTAAGCGTTTAAAAACTGAAAATGAGTAGAAAATTAATGCAACATATAGCACTTAATAGAACTTTTAAATTTACCTACTTAATTAATAAAGGTTATTAATAAATTAATCTTTTTTATAAAGATTTATTGATAATTTTTCATGAAAAATACAGTCTAAAAATGTTTATGCATGAGGTTACCTCTATACAAATTGCTTAGTTAATTATTAATAATTTTCCGTCACGTTCATCAATCTGTTATTGTTTTAGTGAAAATTATATCTTGTTTTGATTCCTTTTATTCTTGAAGCGTTGTTAACATTTTCACCATCTTTCCTTCTTGCGCTCTCAAATCATTATGCAAAAATGTAATTACAACTTTTAAAACCTGAAAAATGCACGTATGTGAAATTATAGTCAGGCGATGATTTGTAGGTACTTTATTTTTTACCATGATGTTTTAGAACTGTGACGTTTTCTCTTTGCTTTCTTTTCTTCCACGATGTTTTCGTACCATGACATTTTCACCTTGCTTTGTTTTCTCCACGATGTTTTGGCTATAACCAACTATTTGAATTAGTAATTTATAAAACTGCTTATGACTACTTTAGAATGATTCAGTCTGACACAATAATTCACACCAAACAAACTCCACAAAATTTTTCCTTTCATGGCTTTATTTAACATTCTTATTTTCAAACTAAAACATTTTTCTCCTTAAGCTTTTAATTTTCTCTATACCAGTAATTATATTTCACAAATCTCATTCTTTTGCATTCAAATAACAAATACTATAAAAATTCAAAAATTTGCAGACTTTAAGATATAGTTAATTTTTTTAAAAAATTTTAATAACTTGTTAAAAATGGTAAATTTTATATATCTTAAAAATATGTTATAGAAATATTATAATATAATGCTAGCGTTCTGCTGTTATTGCTTATACCAACGTCCAGACATATATTTACACAAATAGTCTCACAGTCAGAAATATGACTGCCATGTGGCAAAAGTTTTAAGTACACTTGTGAAGAAAAAAATTGCTTTGGTAAATTCCACCTTAATTCTAACCAGCAATTCCAAAATAGTGAAATCTTACAGAAGTATAAATCATTTCCCCCATCATCAACATCTTCAGATGATTTTCATATCCCCAGATTTGAAGTGCTCATTCCAGGGTTGCCACTCAAACAAGAAAATGAAATTCTCTGACTTTTCCAGGTTTTCCAGTTGTGTTTCAAGAAAATTCCGGTCTATCCGCGTAATGTAATACGTTGGCTGTGCTAAGAGGTAAATTAATTATGGTATTACTTGTATTGTGTAGCAAATTCACTTAATTATTCAATTAATCCCAGGACATTTACTCTTAATTATTCTCGGTATACTTTGATAATTGTGTTTACTTTTCCACTTAAGAAACTTAATAAAATTTAAGATATATACATTGGATAACAAGTGTATGTTTTATTTAATTATTACTTATGATCATCACCAGTTCAACACGAGGCTAATCCGGTCCTTATAAATCACAACGCAATGCTAAATAGTTAGGTTAGATTTTAGGTAAATTTAATTTGTTTGAGGTGTCTTTTTAAAACGCACCTTAACACTTGAAAACACAAATATAATTATAATAGGAGTTGTTTTCTCCACTGAAGATTGAAATTAGAATCTGCTCAATCTGGAATAAAATAAGGCTTTTTTTGCAGACATTCTGCAGCTAAATGAAAGAAAAAAAAATCTATTTAATGATATTTTTTTAATAAATTGAGGTATTTTATATTTATTTCGCAGCATACATAAGAAAAAAATATATGCATCAAATTTCGTGATGGTATGTCATCATATTGCTAGAATTAATTTCAAGATTATGCGAGAGAAAATTTCCTGAAATTTGGAAATATTATTTACTAATAATAAATAAATTTAGAGGGAAGAAGAAATGATACAAATAACATAAAAATAAAGAAAATTACTTAAAAATTGAATTAGAATAATCAGCGATATTTTAGCGAATATAGTTATATTACATGGTTAGCCTAGATAACTGATCACAATTTTTTATTTTACTACAAAATGGCAAGGTATTTATTAAAAAGAAAGAAAAAAAAAAAAAGGTTTAAAAAGATTTTATATACGGCAAGGCCTTGGCACGATTTTGAAAATTGTCGCCAAGACCAAAATGGCCGTTTACTGCTCATCATCATGTCGCCAAATCCTGTTGTACCATACATGGAGATTATTCTAACCAAAGAACGTCTATGTAATGAAGAAAAGGTTCCATACACGTAACGATCTTACGGCGCTAGAAAGCGGTGAGAAAATTTGACGAGGAATTTGGCGACGGAACCTGGTGGCCAGAATTCCCCTCTCCGCGATGTGTACAGGAAATTGAGAAACACATGTTAAGAAGAAACGTTCTTTGACAAAAAGAAAACTACAAAAATCCCTTTTTAAATTATTGCAAAAAATCCAAGAAGAAACGGGTACTATTCGTTTCGAAGGCCGAAAAAAATTGCAGCAAAAATGCATGTGCAAAAGCACCAAATCTAACAAATGCACCCATTTAACAGCATGCCAAATCTAGTGTACGTGCTGATTTCAGATTGTGTAAGTTTATATAGTTCTGTATTTCTTAAGACGGCATTGAAATACTAGTTTAATTTTTAAATTGTTTTTTGATTTTAAATTCTTTTTTGATATCTTATGGATTTAACAATTTGGGAATTGCCCATGACGAAAGCTCGGCAATAGAATTTTGGGTAAAGTGCAGAATCCCCCAATGCTTGACGCGTTTTTAAGAATTGCACATACTCGGTATCCATGTGCCCATCAACCTATTTTAACTTAAAAAAAAATCCTAGAATTCACAAAAATGGCACTGCGCACACCCTTGACTTTATCTATGTACACATCGACCTATTTTCCATTAAAAAGTAAAAGAAAATTGACAAAAATCCAATTGTTTTTACCCTGTAAAAAGCGGCAAACAAATAAGTGTGCGATTCTGCAATTACCGAGAATATTTTCAAAGAAAAGGCATCCTTCATTATAGAAAATTACGTTTGAACAACCAATGAGATGAAATTATGCTTTAGCGATAAGTCGGTAGCGAAATAGCGATGAAGGCATCCATTCAGTTATGTTTAGCAATTTTTATATAAATTATAATAATGATCTGAAATAGTTATTAACTCTTATCCTTCCATTCAGTCATGTTTAGCCTTTTTCATATAAATTATAATAATAAAAAAGTATTATATGAAATTAACCTTTCATCTAATTTAAAACATCAATCTTAAATAGTTATTTACTATTTATTATATTTCCTTTCTTGCCACAATTATTTTTGGCAGCATTGGCATCAACAATAGTTTGGCGATTTTTTACAGCCCTCAAAACCGAATAGTACCAAGAAACGTTTTATCAAAGAAAATTTCTTAGATTTTTCGCAATAATTTTAAAAACGGATTTTTGTAGTTCCCCCCCTCAAAATAACTAATTCATGAATTAATTTATTTGTGCCAAAAAATATTTTCTTTTCCTTTAGAGTTTAAAGAAAAACCTAAACGATATTCCTTTTATGAACTCTTGATAATGTGACCTTCAAACTTCGACACCGGTTTCGAGCTTTGGCGACAGATATATCGCACATGCACAGCTGTTTCCCTCTATGATGGAACGGAGCCACATCTGTTGCAGATAGGTTTTCCTTCTTTACAATACTTTTTCTTTGATTCTAACCTTCACGGTACCCTATACTAGGATTAAACCCATTTTATTTTATACAAAAACATGTACTTTCTTTGGTTCATGCACACTGCACATATGATTCTCTCGATTCTCGAGGTTACTGGAAACCAAAAGTTGCAAGAAACTTGCTTTGCCTTTCTAAAAGACAATCAAATTGGAGCTGCGAAGTTTGGCTATATGCCAGCTGCCCGAATGACACTCATATGATACACAATTCGCCAAAAAGGTGATCTCTTCCGGCGTCGGCGCAAAATTCGCTTTTTTTGGTGCGATCGTTGTATGAAATTCCCTGACTTTTCCAGATTTTGACTAAAATACTTAAATTCCCTGAACTTTTTTGTCAATTTTCGAATTCCCTGACTTTTTCCGATTTTCCCGGTAGCATGGCAAGCCTGCCATTCTACAAAGACACTATACAATCACACATATCCAAATTTATAAATAAATATTAGTGTTACAGAACTGTATGATATTTGGTACTTATGTGTTTACAAAAAATACACAAAACGTTTTTTGCAAATATGACTTATCATATATTGAAAAATGATAAAATGATTTATTCCATACATCTTTAACTCCATATCACAGGTTATGATATACATCTTTAACTCTATAGTCACATGTCTCAAGTATAACAAATTCAAATACAGTATGAAGTCCGAAATCCGGACATTCAATATCCGTAATGATCCAAATTCCGGACCTCAAAACCACAAACAACTTTTTCTCCTAGGATTTACACATGTGCATTTGATTCCTCCCACCGCGCATAATAAAACATCTGGAGAGTCCCGATTCTTAATTTCACTTCGAAACCAAAAAAAATACCTCGTTATTGAAGAAACATTCATTTTAGTATAAATCTATATGATCAGTAATTTTGCTGCGTATTTACTTTGGCACACATCTCAAACCGAAGCATTCCACATTGATACATCGTTTATCTGACGTCAACATGGTGAATCATTATTTATTATACTTTCCTTTCATCACAGCATTTTTATCAACACAAGACAACTTGAGTAATGATACATGTAGCGATGTTTAAACAATTTTTTACTTTCTTGTACGAAGTAAAAAGGAAGTATTGTAATCGCGAAAAGCTTCAGGCAGCATATTTCAACGAAAATATCCACTTTGACTGCTTTCGAATGCAATTTAACGATGTTTTTGCGTGATGTCTGTACGTAAGGACAGAATAAAAGACTCTAAAGACTCTTTTCCTCCAAAAAAACTGCTTTAAAATGAATTCTGAAGAGAATTTTTCATGGCGTCTGTACGAACGTGCGTACATACTTATCTCGCATAACTCAAAAACGAGTAGCCTCAGAACGTTGAAATTTTGTATATAAGACTACTATAACATGTAGATGTGCACCTCGTATTTTGGTTTTAATTGGTCGAGCTAAACGTATATAAATATATTTATAAATACGTATATCCACTCTGTTACCCGGCTCAGTGATCTCAGTTTCTTTACTCTTATATGTTTGTAAATTGTACTTTTTTTGCTTTAAAAATGATTGAATTATGTTGTTTTGATCTTCCGGTTAAGGGTTTTATGCCTTTAGTAAATCTGTATGCAATATTTTTAGAATTATCAACAATTTTAAAAGTGTTTAAGTGCCGCTAAGCCTAATTTGATGGCGGCCATTGCTCTTGTTTACATTTGAAACAGATGAGTAGCGGATTTGTTGCCAATCTAGAGAAACTTAGCTTTGCAACAACAAAGATAACGCCTTCATTTTTTTAATTTAATCATGCTTAATCCTTTCTGGAATTTTTTTTGCGGAAATAAGCGTTTAAGATTTACTTCGTAATTTTTAATACAGATATTCTGAGTTTTTATGTATTTTTGCCTTGTCGTGAAGTGAAAACTGAATTAATTGAATGAGAAATACTCAATCGTCTGTGAAAAACTGTTTCTTTTTTGTTTTGTTTGCTTAATTTCCTTTATGCATAGTTCTAGCTTTATTATAGTACTTGAATATAACATGTGGCAACGATTAGATAATTATTTAAATGATATAAATTTTGTGTATTCTGAGTTATAATATGAATGAAATATAAATAGCGCCAGAGTGTCGCTATGTTAAACAAATAGAGTGAATTTTAAAGAATGCCTTTATTCTATTGTGGTTTATGCGCTGTCGGCGAAGTAGGTTTAATTCAATCTAATAAGTTTAAATGAAATGCAAGAAAAAATGCGTATAATTTAATATTCCGTACAAGGAAGTCATGTGGTGTACACATCAGATTTTTTTTATGTTAGCAATTGAATAATAAAGGAGTGTGGTAACCTTTTATGTTGACTTTACGCTTGGCAATGATTACAGATTTAAGATAAATACGCTAAAATATGTTGACGAGGAAAAATTCAACAAAAATTACTTTCTATATGCTAAAAATAAATTTTGTTGGTGATACTCATAGACCCAAAGATTACATTTAGGACTATTTGAATTAAGAATAACTGATTAGTTATTTACCTAAACTCAGAACAAGTGCCAGGGCTCGTATGGCCGCATCGGACCGCAGAATTTAGAACCCACAGAGACTGCATCAGGCGGTAAGATATCTAGAGTCGGCCCTCAATAAGGCTTAAATATATGTGAGAATTTATTTATTCAGAACTCTGATAAGCCTTAAGCATGTGCATGAAATAGACATGAGTATAATAAATAACTAAACTAATACAACTCAGGGTTAATTGTCTCAATGCGAGATAACAGCAAGATAAAATTTAACAGAACAACTTGTTGTTAGTTGCCAAGCTCCTGATGCATAGCCAAATACGTATAGCGAAGAATAGCTAAATTTGATGACGATAGCCGCTAACTTTAAAGGTTTTCGGTTATCGTAAAACAAAGGTGACATTTTTCAATTAACAGATTTTGTAAAGAAAAGTGGAGAAGCGGTAATAAAACGATGATAATATAAAAGAAGTTTTTCATTATGATGACAATGCTTCTCAATCATCAATCAATTAATGAATGGCGAAATTTGTAGCATGGTTCTAGATCCAGAAAATACCGCTACAGATAGTGAAGAAAGTCACAGAGAAGTTACTGAAAATGAACAAATTTTGATTGACAAGTTAGTCGGAATTCTCGACACAGCAGTTACAGAACTTCAACAACAAGGCAACTAACAAGAGATTCTGTCTATCTACAGAATTAAAGAAAAAGTATTAGCACAAAAAATGAAGCAACTTAAACAACTTACATTGAAAGAAATATTTAATAAGGTAAACAAATAAATATTAAGCTTTTTTTTAATAAATTTTGCTACCCTTTAGATCATAAATACTCGATTTCATATTTTTAATTTTTTAATTTCTACATACCATCATACTAGATTTAAACTGATGACCTAATATCCGGAAAAATCCCAAATCCGAAATCGCCGAAGTCCCGACCAGTCCAGACTTTGGACTTGGTACTGCATCTTTTTTTAATTAAATAAACTGCAAAGACTTTTTGGTACTTATGTATTTTCCCATCTACGATGAAAGTTGGCAGACAAACATTTTGATGGAAGTCTGAAGGAACAGATTGCTCTATATTCAGTTACATAATCATAGATCGCTCTTTATTTAATTAGATAATCAGCAGAGTGCCAATAATTCCATTAATATTGTTAATGGTGTTTGAAACAGAAAGAAAAACTGTCACCTTTGTGAACTCAAGACCACATATATTCATTTAAATATAGATTTGAGTTGCATGGTTCTGCAGTGTCTTTTATTGCCCCATTTTGTTAATCCCCACCTCTAATGTCCGGGACTAGCAAGAAGAAAAATGGAAATTTATTTCCTGGGATATAAAATCTAAACTAGCTCATTCAGGATCAGGGATGCATAAAGCCAAGGAGATCTTATGAGTGTATTGCCATGTAATGATTTCACATTACTGACTTTTATTTCAGCTTTTATTTGCTGAATATGATAGACATAGAGACACAAGTACCAGCTTTCCTCCTGACCGATTATTAAGTTTAAAATACTCATACAATTATTTGCTGGAAAAAATAACAGCAGCTGAGAGATTAATTTAATAACTAATTCTGAGACTTAAATTATACATATAATTATTATTCATAATTTAATCGACTATTTACATTTGGATTGTAATAATACCATTTGCATTACTAATTAAGAAACTGTATTAACTAATTAGTTGTATTTACCCCTTCCCCAATTATCCACACACCTGCAAAAAGTATTCATGAGGCAATGCACTATGTCACCAAAATAGTTATGTGGCAACCCAGGTATACACACAGCAAATGTATGTTTCAATACATGCATATTTCCATTTTTCAAATTCGAAGGTCATTTTTATGAACAGATCGTTGTGCACATGAGAAGAACAACAGTGTGAATGATGTCAAATTTTTGAGCAGTTCTGCATAGAAAAAAAAGATACATTTACCTTTAGTAAATGGTGAAAAATTTCTTGTATTCAAATACAATTCAATTTTAAAAGAAAAACTGAATTATTGTCATAAAAAATTTAGTTAAAAGCTATACTGATAAATATATAACAAGATTTCATGGATTCTTACCTTATGTGCTAAAGGGAAGAAAATTATCATCCATAAGTACATTGGTGCAAGGTATAAAAATGCAGATGGATTCTTCTGTTTTTTCTGATTTCCTTCCAGATATAAATTTAAAATCTATAAAAAATAAGTTAAAACAAGTTCACAATATTATCTCATATTAAGTCTTTAATTCAAAAAAGCACATATTTATTTTCTTTTACCAAAATAGGAGCTGCTAACAAAGCGCAGACGAATCCAACATTGAAGTTCAAAATCCCATTCAAAAAATAAAATGTGCATGGTTCAGTTCCTAAATAAAGTCATAAAATGTTATTTCTTAAGGTGTCACATTTTATAGTTCATTAAAACAATGGAATTGGGACATATACAGAGAATTTACAAAGCTACGCACCATATAAATCAGGTCCATGGGATGTGAACACATTATACATCACAATATTCAATGGTGCAATCACAAACTTTCCAAAATGCTTAGAATCTATAAGTATCAAAGGGATCTGCAATAAAAACATTTTTTTTTTCATTAAAAAATATTTAATATATAACTCAAAATTTAAATATAAATATTTTATTTTATTATCTTTTCACTTTTTATAACATCACAGACTATGCAGTATAAACATTTTTGCATAAAATGTGAAAGTTGGAAGTAGTATTACTTTTTGCATTGTAATAATACCTTTTACATTACTAATTAGGGAACTGTATTAACTAATTAGTTGTATTTATCCCCCCCCTAATTATCCACACACCTGCAAAAAGTATTCATGAGACAATGCACTATGTCGCCAAAATAGTTATGTGGCAACCCAGGTATGCACACAGCAAATGTATATTTCAATACATGCATATTTCCATTTTTCAAACTCGGTCATTTTTGTGAACAGATCGTAGTGCACATGAGGAGAACAACAGAATGAATGATGTCAAATTTTTTAGCAGTTCTGAATTTATACAAAATCTCTTAATTTTTTCCTAAGCAAAAAAAGATAACTGTGTATGTGGAGAATAGAAGAGTGACGGAAAAAATACAAAAGGATTTCTTGGAAAAGATAAGTGTTTGATTTGAACTTTTTTTTTTTTTTTTTTTAATTTTATTGATTAATTTTTCTTTTTTAGAATTCTTAGCGTGCCACCGTTTTGAAAATGGCTGTTGCCTTTTGCAAATTAGCTCAGCAAATAATTAGTTCTCAATTTTTCGGGAAAGGGGAAGAGTAAAAAATTGTAAAGTACGAATACTTTATGATTGATATTATTACACTTCATGCATGATTGACAGAATACAAAACTTCCATTTTCATCACAAATTCTACCTATTTAAGATTATGTAATACAATAAGCAAATATACGATAATGAAATGGATTTTAAAAAATACAATAATGAATTGGGGTAAATACAATAATGATTCATAAATTTTTATAATCAACATTTACATACATTAAAAAAGTATAACATAAATTATTCTTCTTTTTATGATTTAAAAAAAAAAATAACTTGGTAAATTTTAGCTTGTTAAAATACTCCATTGCACTACCAAAATTCCGCATGAAAAACTCAAAATTTTCATCAACATATTTTGAACCGTATGGATTTTCAATATTTTAATATGTTTTTCTCGTAACATTTATCATTTTAATAACATAAGTTTTAAAAATTTTAAATGTTTTCATATTTTCATAGATTTTATTTAAACATTGCATTATATTTGCAAAAAAGAAAAAAAAAAAATAGTTCTGTATTAGAGCACAGGATATAAGGCATTAGAAACATCTCTAATTAAACGTAATACAACAATGCTGTATGCAAATGTTCAGAAAAATTATCAATTACATGTATAATTAATTAAATGTTGTATGATCTTAAATTCACTTAGTTCAAAAACAAGTTTTTCTAATACTTGCGCAGTAGCTGCGAATTATAAACTACATTTTTAGGAATATTATTAGAAAGCAAAATAGAGATTTAAATTATTAAGACCTGCTTAGAGATTATGATTAGCCATTTTCCATAGTATTACTTTACTATGAAAAATGGCTAGATGATTGACTGCATGGAAAATAAGCTAAATATCTAACAGTTTCCACAATGGCAACACTTACCATGACAAAATGATAAATGACATAGTGACATAAAATAATGATAAAAAAACTAAAAATATTTCTAGCATTAAAATAAAAATTTTTAAGAGAAATTTATTACTTTCCTTTAAGTCATGGATTTTAGCCTCTAATTCTAAAATCAACAATTTTTGACTGATTCAGAATAACCCGTTTAACTTAGATATGTTAATAACCTAATAAAATACTTTACTTACCATTATCAGAATTAAAGAAAATATAGATGACTTCAGAAACATTCCAGGTTTCTTCTTCAGTATAACTATGTCATACGCAATCGGTAACCTAAAAAATATATAATGAAAAGAAACAAATTGAATAATCCAATGAATGGGCAACAATAGCAAAGCATAAACATGCATACTTTTCCCATCAGATACTTTTATTTATTTATTCTGAATATATATAGGAAATTTAAATTTTAATCAGGTCATTAACCATTAAGAAAGCAAAATGTGACAATTTTGATTTTTTATTTTTCCTGTTTTTTTATTTCACTGGTCCAAGTAAAGCAAGTATTGTAATCGTGAAAAATTTCAGCTATCATATTTCAAATGGAATATCCATTTTAACTGTTCTCAAATTTACTTAAACAATTTTTTTATGTGGTACATATAGATAGTTAGTTACTCTATCCAGATAGGACTCAATTTTCTAAAACGGACTATAAAATGGAGTCAGAAGGCAATTTTTTTCATGATGTCTGAATGTGACGAATACATTCATACATACTATATGGTATATATCTCGCATAACTCAAAAATGATACACCATAAAACACTGAAATTTTGAATATGGGACTGCTACAACACCTAGTTGTGTACCTCCCTTTTTTATTGCAATCAGCAGCATCAAACATCTACACAACCAATCCTGTACCTGCCTTAAAAGTCCTTAAATGGCCTCTAGTTTCACAATTGTTGGTTGTAGTCATATACTTCGATTACTGAAGTGTTTTAAATGATTAAAATGTTCATGTTTTGGCAATGTCAAATTTTTTAAAAAAAGTTAACAATTTTCGACAAATAATGAAATCTAACTATTAATGCGATCTCCTGATTATTATATGTATATCTGGGATAGTTTTATACTCTTTATGAAAAAATAAAATTGTAAAAAATTTGACTTCCACGACAAAAACTAACCTGGATTTTTAATTTCAAAATTTGCAATTTTTAATATCATTTTCAACTTGACTTTTTTAATCCTAAAATCTGAGTTCCTGTGAAGAAAATGGAATTAAAAGGATAATTTACTTATGTGATATTTATACTTAAAAATTACTTTAGAACTTACAAAAACATAGCATGCTAATATTATGTGTTAAAACAATCAGCTAAAGAAAGTATTACTGAAATTTTATAATTAACTAATTATTCGACCTAATTTATTATTATGATAATAACATTTCCTGAAAAAATGTAAATGATTAAATATTGAAATGAAATGATTAAATATGGTAGATACTCAGACATGATACCCAAGTTGGATACAAGTTCATATTTTATGATACAAGAACCAATTATGAACTCAGATTTGAAAAATGCAGAACCATATGAAAGAATAAATAAATAAATCCATGAACTTGCTTTTTTAATTGATAAAGTTGATGTGAGCCCTCTAGCCAGCCAGTCAGTATACATCTTAGAATGTTTTTTGTTAAGTCTTTAAGCAACTATATAGCATAACTGTCTAGTATATAGCAAGTATATAATGTAAGTGTGTGCACATCTTGAAACATGAAAAAAAAAAAAAAAAAGCAGTAATTTAAAAGGAAAAGAATCTAGGTATAAAGAACCAAGAATATTTTGATATTATAATCAAAAACATACCTCTTTCTTCTGCCAATTTTGGAAAATTATGTGTTTGAGCGACAAATTGGAGGGTTAAAGAGTATGACTAAATTTCAGCTTTTATGGGATGGACTAAACCAGCCTTTCTTAAAGTTTACGGCATGACCACAAAATGGGTCACAAAGCAAAATATTGAGTTTTCAAAATTTAATTCAGATACATAAATTTACAGGAATTACATTAATCAGACTTTAAAAGAAATTAGATTAATTAAGATTAATGAAGTTAATAACCTGCCATACAAAGCTCAAAAGGGCTACTGTGTAATTCAAATTTAAAACTTAAGTAAAGATCTTAGACTGAAATCTGGATCAGAGTTGGAACTGAATTTTTGACAGTTTTGGAAACAGCATTAAATTTTCTTCTGCATTCAACACCATATACTAGATGTGAAATGACATTTTCAGATTTAATGCTTTTTAAATTCAAATATTTTTAAAATTCAAATCTTAAAAATGCAGAAGATACTTTACATCAATCAGTGTTAAATATTGCACCTAGGTTTAATTTGTTATGCAGCAAAAAACAAACACATCTATCTCATTAAAACATGACTTTTTTTATTAATTTTTGTTTCCCTGAAAAAATAACTTTTCTTAAGTACACTGTCTACCAAAGAAACAAATTATTTATCTTAAAATATTTAATATAAATAATTTATTAGGTATTTAATTGCTAAGGTCATAAAAGGTCTCGATGATAAAAAGGGGTCATGAATGAAAACAGTTCAATAAGCATTGGACTAAACTAATACTGTTAAGATATTTGAAAATATGCAACGGTTTATTACGAATACATCTCATATATCTAATAAAAACCGTTAATTATAACAGGCATATGAGAAGAATAGAACTTTTGGATGTGTATACATTATGCTGCAACCTATAAAATTCAGGTAAATGGAAAGAAGTAGCTGTGATATCCTTATTATTGCAAAATCTAATTAATCAAGACATTACAGTGAAATAATAAATTAAGATATTCTCTATCTGATTTTTAAAGAGTTCTTGCCATTACTTAACCACGGGGGGAAAAAAATACGCAAAGTATTTGTCCTTAATCTTTCCGTAGCAATTATTGTCGTTTATGCTGCCCGCTTGTTAAATAGGATTTATCCTTTGGCAAAATAAAAGAGTAGTAGTACCAATCATATCACTGAAACAAATCCTACATTATATTATTTTTAAAATCCTGAGAATACAGCAGAAAAGTATAAAATGCAAACTATAAATATATGCAATTAGTATAATGCTGCTATATATATATATATATAGCAGCATTATACTAAGTTAATATATATATATATATACGTTTAATATATTCAGGAGCAGGAATTTGGATGACGTAGAAGATTTGATCCATAATGACTAAAAAATTGGAGGCTTTATTAAATCTTCAGTTTTATTTTCAGCTACACACATTTAATGTGCCTGTTCCAAAAGGCTTACATTTTTGATAACTTTTTAGCAAGAAAGCAGTGTAGCTAGGCCAAAGCATGGAAAGCAAGTGCAGTAGCATAGACCCTAAAGGCACAGAGAGAGGAAAGCTTCTTATGCAAAATGATGTGCATTCGTTATTCATAGTAACGGCAACGTAATAGGCTAGCAAATTCTAAAAGGTACTGGTCTAGGGGGAATATCCTGAATTGCAGAAAGTTAATTAAAGGTTGCATGTTTGTGAAAAGCAAAGCCATCATATTTTTTATATTTTACATCTTCCCACCCAAAACAAGAGGCCGGGTGAGCAAAGCATTAGTAGTGAAGTAGGAAGTATGAGGAAAGACATGAAGAAAAATCCAGGACATAGCTTACAAGCTTTAACTATGTCCTATCATAGATCATGATCTTTTCTCATAGAATTGTAAAGTTTTTGAATTATACAATTTTACAATGATTTATAAGTAAACATCTAACTAAATTTTATATGGAATAATAATAATAATAAATAAATTATCAGCATAAAAGTCCTCAATTTTTCTTAAAATGTCCACTGAATAGTCCCTTTCAAAAAAATAGTTGGAATGAAATACTTTTTAAAAAGCTCTGCCAGTAAGCCCAGCTTGTTTTCATCTTGTGGACTAACAAGTTCACAAATATTATTCACTTTTTCTAATAAATATGAGTTAATAATAATTTTTGAATGGAAGATATTTAAAATTTTCTTTTCATATAAAACTTAGAAGATATACAATTTATGAATAATATATTATGTACATTCACATTCTTCTTATCATAGGTAATTAAAAATACATTGATAAAATGGTTTAAAAATTCAATACAAAACATTACAATACAATTCAATATAAATAATGATATGATACAATAAGGCATTAACACTTTGAATCAAAATTTTGGCATGTCCTCGCCAACAGATCAGTGTGACTGGCTTGTTGATGGTTGGGGGGTGCTAGGTACAAAATATCAAAAAACCTCCGTTGCCTAATAAAAGGTAACTGGTTTTGGGCATTGTACATTGCATCAAAGTGTTTTTGTAAAAAATACAAAATTCTACAAAATTAAAAATTTAAGACAACTAACTTGTATGATCAAGTTAAAGTCTTGTTTAGAAATTTAGAAACTAAAAATGAATATTACTCTACAAGAAGAAGAAAAAAAATTGTTACAAAATAATCTAAAACTACGTGAAAAATATGTGTTAGTGTGCTGTGTGTGTGTGGTAGCACTTGTGTGCTAAACTATGGTCAGAGGATCGTGGCTGGTATGAAAAAGTATACAAAACGCCAGGCCAGTTTCATGACCATAGTTGACTCAAAATTATGTGAATATAAAAGGTCAAAATCGAGAAAATAATTTGTCATAGTTAGGGTTTAAGTCTAGATCAGGTATTAAAAGTCATAATCAGGAAAGAAATTTGAAAAATTAGAGAATTTTGAAAAATTAGAATTAAATTTATTTTGAACAGAGATAGGAATTCTACTATTTCTAACAGTTAATTTTAATTCACTTGCTGGATTAAAAGGTCTGAGTCTAGTTGAATGAACAATTTCTGATTTCTTTTTAGTTAGAGGATTAGGTTTATCAATTTCGTAAGTAACTTCAGAATATTGTTTTAGAATTTTGTTAGGTCCTGAAAATGGAGGAGAAAGTTTACGTGTATTAGGATATTGAAATTCTTCATACATTACTAAATCACCTATTTTAAAATTACTAGGTTTATAATGAGTGTCATATCTTTCTTTATTAACATTATGATAATCATCAGATCTTTTTTGAGCTATTTTTCTAGCTTCTTCTATTGGTGGATATAATTCTTGATTTTGAATTAAGGAATCATAAGGTAATTTTCCATACATTAAGTACGATGGTGGGAATTTTGTTACAGAATGAGGGGTATTATTATATTCTTAAGTTACTTGAGGTAATAATTTTGTCCACGCAATATTACTTTGATAAGAATTTAGTTTAAATTTTAATCTAGTTATAATCGTTTGATTAACATGTTCAATTTTACCATTAGTTTGGGGTCTATTTGCTGTAGTCAATAATTGTTTCACATTATGATTCCTTAGAAAGTGCTTAAATTTTGAAGATGTAAAAGCAGCATTTCTATCGCTTAAAATTTTCTTAGGTACCTGAATTTGAAAAAAAAAAAATTTAAGCAATGTATGTAAGTATCAGTAGTTACACTTTTAGAAGGAAAAGTCCAAATATATCTGGTGGCATGATCAATAATTACGTGAATATACTTTTTAGAATTATAATAATTTAAACCTCCAACAGTATCAATGGATAATATTTCAAAAGGCTCACTAACATGATGGTAAATTTTGCATTAAACCAAACTTTTTTTGTTTACTTTTCTTATTAAACTGGCATACTTCACAATGCTTGCAATAATTTTCTAACATCCTGAACAATTCCTGGCCAAAGATTGGGAAGCAAGTGCAGTAGCGTAGACCCTAAAGGCACAGAGAGAGGAAAGCTTCGGATGCAAAATGGCGCGCATTCGTTATTTATAGTAACAGTTACGTAATAGGCTAGCAAATTCTAGAAAGTACTGGTCGAGGGGAAAGATCCTGAATTGCAGAAAATTAATTAAATGTTGCGTGTTCGCGAAAAGCAAAGCCATCATATTTTTTTATATTTTACATATATATATAATATTTTAATGTTTTTGATTCAAAGATGAAACTAATCTGATGCAGCAGCTTTGAAAAATTAACAGTTTTAAATATGTGAATTATTTTTGCACTTAAGTGGTGCAGAAATTGAGGACTTTTTCTCAAACATCAGACATTAGTGTTCATATCTGTAGTACTCACCTAATGAAATAATATGAAGGTTAAGACAGACTATAAAATGCCTTTTTTTTAAAGAAATTTTTATATTATATTGGATACAATGCATATTTTAAAGATGTTTAACTCTGTGAGTACCTACCAAAATTATTAAATTTACAAGGTTATAAGACTATTAAAAAGTAATGCATACTCAAAACACTTCTTAAAAATATTTCTAAGAATTGAAATTTCATGGTTCATAGTTTTGAAGATATTAAGACGATATTACTACAAACTATAGCTCTCTTCAGAAAAGCTTACAATATATACAGCATTCTTGCAAAAATTAATGCAAACAGAACAACTCAAAACCTCTGGAATACCATAATGGATAATACAGGAGTGATTGTGACCCCATTTAAAAAATCCTGAAAACTAGCTACGCAGTGAAAACCCAACATAATTTCAAATAAGTATGTCAATAAAATATTATAATACAGTTTTATTACAGAAGCAATATATATATTTTAATTTATTAAAAATTAATTAATGTTTCACAAGATTATTTTGCACAGTTGCCAACCTTTTTTCAATATTTATACAATTAACTGCTATGCTTAGCTCTTTCATTTTGATCGGGGTTAAGTTTCTTGAAACTGCTGCACAAATACTTTTCTATGCTAAAAATTGAAAGCTAAGTCATTTTGGCTTTTCACTTAACCCTTAGCTATTAGATTAGATGTTGAAGTAGGCATATTAACATATACTGAGATGAGAAATTGCTAGAAGGAAGAAAATGGTTTGCAATATCTTGGCTATCAGTATTCAAAGATGTTGTATATTCTGTCATTATATTATGTAATTAATTAAACTTTCAGCAATGAATACATGGAAGTAAATTAAAGCAGATTTAATCAGTTTTATCAATATTGGGTATGTCTTCTTTCAGCTGAGTGCTTCAGCTGCTGCCTGATTTCTTTCAATAAGTTTAAAAGTTTCAAATTTATGCTATCTCTGAATATTTTTTCTAAAAGAAAATGTGAAAAAGATGATACTTTACATTACACAAATCCAGAAATTCTAGAATTCAGACGCTTAAAAATCTGAAATTCTGGCTTTATCTAGACCACAATCCCTACTGAAAATGAAAGCAAAATCAGAAATCAGTATCCAATTATTTTATTTCTCAACTTCATGTCAAATTATTGTTTTAAGAATTTCATTTCTTACTAACACACACTTCTAAAAGTAAAAAAAAAAAAAAAAAAAATTATGTTTTAGTTACTTGTAACTGATCTCGTTGTTTTATAATTCCTTTACTTACACACAATGACAAATGTAAGTTTTAAAATTTATGATATAAGATGTGGTGTTATAGGCATTACAAATTTATTTTTTAGACTTTTGTATTTAATACACACACAAAACAAAACAAAACAAAAACTTTTACTTTCCATAAAGCTAGCATATTCACTTACCCTAAAATAACAGCAAATGGCCAACCCACTAATGTACTAACAGCAGTTGCAAAAACAGCAATCTACAAATTATTAAATTTAATACTGATTACCAAATATAAGAAAGTACATACTGTTTAATCTTTAAACAATGATATGACAGGCATATTTAAACACATGTTTTATAGAAATAATTTAAATCAAATGATATAAACCAATATAATGTCAAACACAATATGACAAGATATCCTCTATCCAAATTACTGTTTCAGACCAAAAATGTTACATTAAAAAACAAATGACGATCATTCAAGAGCAATCTTATTTCAGTATCTTCAAATCAATACAAGTAATACAGATACATGCATAAAATACAAATGTATTACAGAAAACATCCTTCAAATGTTTATACACTTCATAGTAAAACATCAATGTGCTTAGAAAAAAAATCACAGATTGTTATGAAACTAGTTAAGAACATGAGAGAGACAAAGATAATCATATGAAAATAACTGGAGAATCTGTATCATTAATCTACAGCAGTAAGAAAGTCCAAATCTTTTACAGATTAAAATGGCACGGATTGGTTTCAAGTATCAATGCATGTGGAGATCAGTCTGGCAGAACACATATAAACATCTAATGCTGTCTTGAGGGTGTTCTGCCACAGTGTAATTATACAGCCAGGTCAGATATATTTTGCAACGGCTGAAGTTGGCAGCTGACCATGTCCAAGGCATATAAGTGGGGAAACGATCAGTCTATAGCTCTCTGTGGAACCCACAGCATAAGTACTAGCACACATTACAGGATATCATCAATTCAATATTGGCCAGTCAAGGTGGTGTGCAGTGTAATTAAATACCCAATAGCATCTCATAGAGTAACTCCAGACATGATAAAAACATACTATTCTATAATGAAAATCCTGAAAACTAGCTGCACAGTGAAAACCCAACATAATTTCAAATAACTATGTCAATAAAATATTACAATACAGTTTTATTACAGAAGCAATATATATATTTTAATATTAAAAATTAATTAATGTTTCACAAGATTATTTTGCACAGTTGCCAACCTTTTTGGGTTTCTCAATATTTATAAAAATAACTGCTATGCTTAGCTCTTTCATTTTGATTGGGGTTAAGTTTCTTGAAACTGCTGCACGAATACTTTTCTATGCTAACAGTTGAAAGCTAAGTCATTTTGGCTTTTCACTTAACCCTTAGCTATTAGATTAGATGTTGAAGTAGGCATATTAACATATACTGAGATGAGAAATTGCTAGAAGGAAGAAAATGGTTTGGCCACTACCACAGATTAATGGGACGATCATCCAAGCCAAACAAAAACTAGATACACTGCTGAAAAAGGTATAACTCTAATCTGCTATATTCCAAACAGAATGAGCATGACAATGTGGTGTGCAGTGATGTTAGTTTATAAAGTTCACAGAAAACTTTATAGCTAACATTAACAGTAGATGACATATGTTAGACATAAGAGATACCAACAATATAGTTAACCTTCATCAGCCATTTTCGAATAGTTCTGTAGTACATCAAACAGAGATGAGATTTGAGGTGAATAATGGAAAAGTGTAACCATCAGTGTGGTTGATGGATTGCACATGATGGTTTGGCCTGCCCATCAAATCACCCTCTGCAACTTTCCATTAGCTGACAGATGGCATTTTGGAACCATTGATGACAAAATCATTTCACTGTTTCATCATTCCAACCCTCATGTCTGGGAATTCAGCAGTATTACCACCCCATTTCCCAGCAGGCAGTGATGTGTCTTCTCCCAAACTTACTCATTTACATGTCACTTCACTGGATGGATCTCCAAGGCATTCTTCTTGGCTAAAGTTGAAAGCACTACTATAGAAACTAGTCCAAAATTTTACTCGGCAAGCTCATAATGCGTCTTTCGTGTTTGCAGGCTGGCTCCCTTTTAATGTATCATATACGTACTCTACGTCCTCAGTGGCTGTGCATGCTTAATAACATGCACAACTGATTTGAGATATTCACATGTCAAGGATCATTATGCATTTGCAGTGCATGAATCTACACTCCCCACACACATTGTATTTTCAATGCTGCACATAATGATAAAAGGCACAACATATTTATTTCATTAACTTAATGCAAATGCAATTGATGCTCTGATATATGCACATTTTTAACCATAAAATGATTGTCGCATATTCCAACTGTCCTGCAGCAACTTAGCATTGATAAATCTATAAATTTTGAAACTTATCAACCATAGTACCTCAGAAATAAAGCAGTAAGATTCTGATAGATTGTCTAAAATAGATTACCTCATATTTTTGTAATAACCAAGCTGAAAATGCAATTGTTGCAAAATACATGGAAAACGTGCTTGGGAGGAAAGCTGTAGATGATACAAACATGCCTGATCCAACAGTAAGTAAAACAAGCATCAAACGACCAACATTTTGTCCAAAATGTTGGCATACTGACCTATAATTAAAATTAGAAAACATAAATGAATTTTACAATTACCTTTATTTCCAGTTCAAAGTATAAGTGAACCAGAATAATTTTAAATTCAGTAAAAAAAATTAACCATTGCAAATTAAACAAAATTCACTATTGAATATAATTATATCTTAAATAGTAAAAACAAAATTTTAAGTATACTCGCTTTACTCTGATTTTAAAGACGATTATTAAAAACCAAAATAAATACAACGTAAATAAATATATATATAGTATTAAGTCTGAAATTCGGACATCCATTATCCGGAATGATCTAAAATCTGGACCTCAAAATGACCAACGTTTTCTTGTAGGCTTTATGCATGCGCATTTGATTCCCCCCTTCTTCCCACATAATAAAACATCTGGAGAGTTCCGATTCTTAATTTCGCTTCGACACTAAACAAAATACCTTGTTATTGAAGAAGCAATCATTTAAGCATATATTTGTATGACAGTAATTTGGTTCCGTTGCTGCATATCTGCTTGGCATACATCTCAAACTGAAAAATTCCACATAGATACATCGTTGATCTGACGCCAAACTGGCGAATCAGAAACTGCAAATTCTTTTGATTCTAATTATCTGGTTATTAATAGTATTACTAATAACTTTCTTAGAGTTGTTAGAATTCCAATTAATGTGTTTTAAGGTGAGAAAATTGAAATCTCTTCTTTTATCATAGTTTCTGATACTTTTATAGTTTAACCTTCCAGCACGGGCATTATGCACAAAGTTTACAACAAATTCGGTTTTTAATGCACTTTTCGCATATTGCAGCCGAGACGTCTGAACGTCATTTCTATTCCTCCTTTCAGCACTTCCCCACATTATGGAATGTGCCAACAGGAAATCATATGACTTGTTTTGTTTTTTTACTGGGCTTTTGCGCTACGTGGCAGCTTCATCAAAAAAGTTACGACATGTGTGTGGTCGTGGGTGAAAATTTGGAAAATATTTTGTAATTTTTTGTTATTAATTGAAGTGTATTATTTTAATTTGTATAAATTCGACTCGATAATTTTTATATCAGTTTTCATGGCAAAAGTTTATGTACAACCAGCTGATTTTGCTCACATTCTTCAAAAATTATCTGATGAAGAAAAAGAAGACAAGGAAACCTTTGGATGTGAGAATAATAGCAATCTGAGTGACAAAATATAGAGATAAATAATATCAGCACTGAATCTGAACAATAAATTTCGGATGATGATAGTAATAATGATATAGAAAAAAGGAATGATGATGATATATCTCTTGTTAGTAAGGATAAATCTTCTACACTGAAAGAGTCTCGTAGTGTATCGTGGTTAGTGCATTGTCGAGAGAGCGTGTTGAGCTCCGGGAACAACTGAACCGAAGATTCGGGAGCTGTGCTCTGTGTGTCGTCAAGTGCATCGTGAGTTGTAGCGTGGAGAGTCTCGAGAGTCGTGGAGTTCCGAGAATGACCAAGCAGAGTCAGGAGCTGTAATTTGATGCTTTGCAATGGAGCTGTCTCCACCGTTATAGCCTGATAACCTGAAGGCTGTGTCGCTGAGTGTTCCAGCAAGTTTATAGTAGATCTTCGACGACTGTAAAACGTGACTTTGGAGCTGTCCAGATTAATTCCGGCCAATAAAGGGTGTTTCGATATTCCATCAAGTGTTGTCGTCGTTGTTCACTCCAAATCCACACGAACCCCTTAAACGTAACGTGGAGAAAGGAAAGAACATAACAATATTTTATGTTTTAATAAATTTATTATTAATATCCACTCATTTCTGTCATTTTTCATGCCAAAAACGGTAAAATAACAGACGTCGTAAAAAATACGATGCACGTGTGCTCATGTAAAATTGCTAAGCATGCATGCTGGAAGGTTAATATTTGTAAATCAAGACAATTTCTTTTTGCTGTTGTGTAGTATTGTTAAGTTTCCAGTTTTCTATGACAAATTTATTTTGAAGACAACTGTACTCACAAATACTTACCAGACTAACTAGTCTGAAGAAATTGATGATCTTTTAAATTATAATACAATGAAGTGTAAATTATATGAAGTGTTAATTAAATGATGCTATATGAAGAGTAAAAGTTAAATGAAGTGTAAATTATAATACACTTCATTTAATATATCATCAAATTGTTAAGATACCTTAAACATTTGTGATATACCAATATATTCCCCTTTTCACTTTCCTTTGTTTTACATATTTAATTATGCAACTTAACTTGCTCTTTTTACAATATGATTAGTATTAGCTACAAAAAATTAACCATTGGATTTCACCTACCTTTGTACTTCGAATTCGAAGTGCAATTCGAATTTTCTTAATTTATAATTTTTAAGTCAGACATTTCCGTGAACAGAAGATGATTACTTATTTATTGTGTAACAGTAATGGTGAAGATAAATTGAATTTGATGATGTGCCTGAAGATATACGAATACGCCAAACTTTTCGTGTTATCCAATAATGAAAATTTTTAAGTTCATAAGGTATGTCATTTCTTCTAAATAAACAGTATTTAGATAAATATAGAAATCTAATTTTAGTATACTCATTTTTTCCTTATTTTTAAGTCTACCATTTTTATATACAAGTAGAGCATGTACTCATTAACTTTGATTTTATTTTTTGTATTGAAAGTACACATTACATACCAAAATATAAGGCAACTTATACAAATCAGGTCATATATAATTTCATGAATAAGAAATCTAACAATATTTATTTATATATTTATTGAAATTTACATACGTTCATTAAAATTCTCTAATTCTTTACACAACAAGAAAACTTACCGATAAAAATAGACTTCACACATGGCACTCACAAAGGCCAACAGACATCTTAAATAATAGAATACCAAAACCTACAAGAAAATATTGATTTAAAATTCAGAAATATAACCTATACTTATGCATTTAAATGGAAATAAGGCACATTTTTAGTCAAACAAATTTTTAAAAAGTCATGTTGATTGTTTTTATATAGCTATTTGGCCCATTTTCAAATTTTGCTTCCATATGCTGTCCAGAAGAGAAAAAGAAAATTCAAGATAAATTAATACTTAAAATTTAATTTGAACAATGCATTGCATAAAGATGACTATAAATATATTTCTACAATTTAAAATATTAAAAAAAATCACATTGAAATGAATATGAACTATTAGTCTGTTATATTCATGATAAAAATTAATTACAGAAGTTTTTTTCTTTAGCAAATGAATAAAAATAATTTGATATTTTTATTCATTTGCTCATTAAACTGATTGTGGTTAAAATAATCTCAAGGTCTGTTACCTTAAGATTATTTTAACCACAATCAGTTTGTAAATCTGCCTAAAGGAGGTAGTACATATTCAAAGTAGTTGAGCTTAGCTGAACTAGTTTATGTCACTGAATTTTCCAACTATTAATTTGAAACAAGCAATGTCGCCATTTTTCTATATGCTCTCTTTGTTGTATTACTAGATCTAAATGCAAATCACAATATTTTTGGTGTTAAACTCAATTTTAAAATATCTTCTTGTGGGATTTGTCTGCAATGGAAGAAAAAAAGTGATAAAATTTCTACAGAAATAAATGTTTTCCTACAAAATCGCCTATGTTCTCATTCATATTTGATGACATTATATTTCAAAAAATACAACTGTACAGTTTGGTGGAAATGCAATACAAAAAACTGAAGCAAACATTTCAGGATTTGGAGAGGCAACTGATTTGACAACAGACGTCTGCCTTTCACTACAGCCCTCAAATTTATGTACTGCTGAAGAAAACAGTTTCCTTGCATTAAATTTTGCTATAAAAAGTTAGAAATAGCCAATAAAACTGACACATTAGATTAATTATTAGTCATTAGACTTGATTAATTATTAGATAATTCGAAAATATACGAAGTTTGGGGGAAGGGATAAAAACAAATGAAGCAGTACAAAAATGCAAGAAAATCTCTCTGAATCAATTTGTTGTATGACTTTTTGTCACGTCTCCAGCAGCTGGAAAATTCCTTTTTCGAAAAAGACATTAGGTTTATTCATAAAAATATTATCACGAAGCTGTTGGAGAGTTTCCAAAGAAGTAAATTCCAGAGCTCCATGCTTTTCAAAGAATTCTCAAGAGATGAAAATCCAACAGAGCAAGTGAGTAAGGGTCTAGTGAATATGGGGTATGACACAAAATATCCCAACCTTAATAAGTCTTTGATATACAGGGTGATCTTTTTTAAAGTGACAGTGTTTGGAGCGCCCTGCAGAGCGATCTAATAGCCGAAATGGCACCAAACTTGGAATTTAGACTAATCAAGACATGGGACATCAAGACATAAAATCGTACAGTTAAATTATTAATGTTTATTTACTACATTAACTTCCCCAGTGAGGAATTAGAGCACATTCAATATGAGCACTGTTCTCAGAAATAACACCGTGCATTCTGTGCACAACGTTCTCCACAGCCATATGTAACATATCATGAGGAATATTTCACACTGTTATGTTGTGTCCTTTAGAATAGACAAATTTGATACTCCACCAACATAAACTTGAGATTTCAAATAACCCCAGAGCCAAAAATCGCATGGCGTGAGGTCAGGGTAACGAGGCGGCCATGCAACTGAAAAACTGTGACTTATGACTCTATCATCAGTGAAGTTTTGGTGCAACAGCTGCTTTACCTTATTACTAATGTTGGAGACCGTTTCTTTGCTGAAGTTGTGGAATAACAAACGTTTGCAGCATTTCATGGTACCTTCCTGCATTTATGGCCTGTTTCCTGCGCGTTTGGCATCCTGTCGGAGTGATGGTCTCAAAAAAGAATGGCCCAATTACGAATTCGGCTGTGAAACCACACCAAACAGTGACTTTTGGGGAATTTTACGAGATTTCGTGCACGGTGTGGGGCAGCTCAGAAGCTCAAATTCGGCTATTTTGCGTGTTTACGGACCCTTGAGATAAAAATGGCACTCATCTTCCCACAGAATATTTCATGGGAAAGCATCATCAATTTCTACCCTGGCAAGAAACAATAGAGTGAATGTCATTCGCTTATTGTAATCACTTGGTTTCAGTTCATGCAAGCAACGGATTTTGTAGAGATAAAATCCAATAACATGCCGCAAAACACTCCATACCGTGGAATAATTCCATGTCCAATTGAGCTACAGCCCGGGTGCTACTAGTACCAACAATGGTTCCCTGCGATCCTTCGACAATTGCAGTTGCCACATCAGTTATTACATCTTCTGATACTGGTTGACGTCCTCTCCCAGTGCGAATGGTCAGTGACCCCGTTTCCTCGAACTTCTTAATAATTTTCTTTCTTAAGACCATTCAGCGATAAAGGCCCCTTATGTAATTTTTTTCTGGTTCGAAATTCCCGAAGAGCTGCGGATGCATTACATTGATTCATGTAATACAGCTTCACCAGTAATGCACGTTCCGGTAACGTGAGAGGGATGTCCACTGGAGCTTGTTTACTTCAGCTGAGATTATTTGTCGAAGCTGTCTACTACTTGTTGTTAGTTTGGTACATTTATATTTACCATGTTGGCAACACCAAGTTCTTCTCTGCGTGCGAGCTATGGAAGCCGTCGTAATGTTGTGCACGTGTTGTTAAGTTTCAATAAAAAATATGAAAAGATACGTTTCTTATTTTTCGACTTGCTTCTTCATATGATATCGGTTTATTTAACATGGTAGCAGTTCTCGTGGTTTGTGAATATGAATGAAGAATTTAGTAGTTATAATTTGTTTTAAAAGTTACCGGTACTAGCGTAAAAATGGCTTGTACAAGAAGCAGTGATATCAGCATACCACTATTTGATGGTTTGGACTATTTTAATTGGAAAGTGCGTATGATGAAATTTCTTCAATTTAAAAAGTGTAAAGATGTGGTTCAGCGAAAAGTCAGTGAAAACGATGACGTGGAAAAATGGGAAGAAAAGGATATACAAGCTACAAATTACATTTACGGCACCATAACAAACAAGCAATTGGAATATATTCACGAGTGTGAGACTGCATTTGATATAATTACGAAATTTGATGCAATGTATTTAAAAACTTCAACATCTCTATAAATTGTTTGCCGAAATAACTTTGAATGTGTGAAACTGAAAAGTTATCCTGATGTAAATATATTTTTTGATGATTTTGAGAAGTATGTGAACGAACTGAAACATGCCAGCGCCACCGTGACGGAACAAAAAAAATTGAACTATATGCTAAGAGCATTACCTTCAAATTACAGTCACATTGGTGACTTAATAGATATATTACCAGAGAAGGACAGAACAGTCGATTACCTAAAGAGCAAAATCAAATAAAAATGACTTGAAGAGAAAAATGATTATGAAGATTGTGCACCAGCAGAAAAATCAAATGCGTTCAAAATTGAAACAAGCAAATCGGGTCCATAAGGGAATGTCTGTTATAATTGTGGAAAACCTGGTCACATTAAAAAGAATTGTTGGCAATGTCCATCAAAGGAACTATCGTGGTAATGGCTCCACTAATTATCATTGTCGAAGTGCTTCAAACAATCGAGGAAGGTAGTTCGTGCTTTTAGTGGACATCGTGAACGTGGAGCATACTCTAACCACAGAATAAACAGTCATCAAGGCAATAGTTTTCACACCACTGTTATCAAAAGTAACATGACAAGTTCCAGTACATATACTGTGACGAATAAAAATGAAATCAATTGGTTACTGGATAGCGGATGCACAGACCACATTATAAACAGTGATGAATATTTCAAAGAGCAAGTCACTTTGAAGGATCCTATTCAAGTGAAAGTCGGTGACGGAAGGATATTGAAAGCTACAAAGGTTGGCAATATAATAGTTTTGCAGCGGCAGCGCCAAACAGGCGATACGGACTTAAAAACTGTACAGAAAAACGCCAATTGGCGAAACAGTAAACCCGTTTGGCAAACCTACAGGCTGACGGAGAGAGAAGATTTTTCCCGGCAGTCAAGTGGAACTACTTTCAACAAATGTGTGCGTCTCTGCTTCGCCGAAATATGTGATCTTGTGTACTCGCACCTGTACTGTGCTCTGAATTTCTTAAGCCGTTATAATGTACCCGGCAACTGGTTACTTTTCCTTATTAAATTTGATTATTAATTGTAACATGTCTATCTTAACTAAGATTTCGGCTTTCCTAGTTAATGTTAGGGATATTTTTGTATGCACGTGTTACTCACACGTACATCATTGGTGACCCTGTCCCTCGCTCCTTCTGTTTCGATCCCTAATGACTATCTGTCTCAATCTTTGTTAAAAAAACTAAAAAATATGCCTTATTTTGATGCCAATGCTCTTCCTTATGACTGATAAAGGCTCCACCCTATTTATTTCCTCCTCATTTTATCGTACGGATTACACGTTTATCACACTTAAGGAGGATTTACAGGTATGTGGTCAAATTTTTTTAATTATCTGTGATTGGTCTTAATTATGTTTTGTGTGATATGTTTTGCTCTAAAATTATAGTTTTAATTTAATTATTGATTGTTTAAAATTGATCTTTGGGTAATATTTGTGCTCACACTTTATTGAGATATTGAATGTCTTCATTATTTATTCTAAATTGATACTGTTTTGATAAGGTATAGTGCAAAACATTAAGTTTACGATTTACGATATATTTATAATTGGCAACCATGCCAGGATCGGAAGGCCAAACCAACGAGGAATCGAATATGGCGGTTCAGGAGCCACAAATCTCACACGTGGCAGTTAAAATTCCCCCTTTATGGAAAAAAATAATGTTAAACTTTGGTTTATTCAAGTTGAAAGTAACTTTGCTTTAGCGAAGATTAGTAGCGATAGTACAAAATACAACCACGTGGTTTCTTCGATAAA